GGGGGTGCCTGCATAATGTGTGCATGCAGCCCTTGGCCACTTAGAAGTTGGACTCCCCCCATTTAGGGTGTAGACACACGTGACTCATTTAAATGCAGTTTAAACCTGAAGAGGACAGATGTACCAGACCATTAAACCGGTTTAAAGGTTCAAAACTCTACCCGGAAAAAATGTTCTGTTGAACCAGGCAACAGTAACCTGGCTGAGTGTTGCGTGTGGACACCCAAGTGGTGAAAGGAGCACCACAGGTCATCACAGTTCCCCGTCACAGCCCCGGTCTGGGGACTTATGCTGCATGCGGCTGCAGTGATTTCAAAGCGCTTCAGCCAGGAGATGCAGCAGGGTCTGTGTGTTTTTCCCAGCGCGGCAACTCTGTTTTTCTAAACAATTCAAGCCCCTTTATAGTTTGAAATGTTTCAAACATTACACTTGTCCTCACCCTGAGATTTGCAGAAGGTAAGGGACAGGGGAATTGGGCTTGGTAGTGTTACCTGGATTTACACTAAGATGAGAACAGAATCAGTGGAGCCACTTCAGTGTCACTATGATGAATGAGAGAGGAAGGCTGCCTGCTAGACTCACTCCTGATTTGCACTAGGTAAATAAGAGGGGAAGCGCTTGTAATGCTTCCTAGACTGGTTCAGACCATTGATCCTTCCAGTCTGATATTCCTTTTGCAACAGTGGTTGATACTTGTTGCTTCAGCAGCAGCCAGCATCTTCTCCAGCCTTTTAAAGCAGAGGTGGCCAACTTGCCGCATGGATGCCACCGGTGGTGTGGGCAGCCTCTGTGTGTGGTATGTGGCAGATTGGGAAGGAGGTAGGCAGCAGTGGCAGATAGGGCAGGAAGCAGCAAGCAGAGCAGAAGGAGAAAGGGATCAGAGTGGTACTCAGGAAGGGTATGGGGCTAATTCGTGGCCCACCTGGGAAAGAGGTTGGCCCTCCCCCGGAGTTATACAGTGGTGTATCTTTAAGAGAGGTAGCCGGGATTCATTCCTTTCTGCCCCCTCACCTCCCCAGTGATCACCTTATGCAATGCAGCACGGGGATCAGGTTACTCTTGCCATTGCTTGCACAATCTCAAGGGCAGTATGTGTGTCTGAAAGCCTCACACCCTCTTATTTTGCGGGGTACGACACTAGTGATATTGCTTATAGTGTAACTTGTAACTGTTACAAATGCAGAATTAGGGCCCAGTTGGGGGTGCTGGCCTCGGGGTGATGTGCTGTTCTCAGTCCTAGGATAACGTGGCAGTTGTACATCTGGATCAGCTGGGCTGCTGCACCTGGGACATGTCGAGCATGTGGTAGGTTTCCTGCTACATATGTCAGAGAACTTCTCTCTCTCTCCCTGCCCCTCCACCCTTTGCCTGGTATCAGGCTTGTGCTTTGGCTCTTGCTCCTGTAAGGCTTTGGCTGCGTCAGTCCTGGTGGGTGGGAAGGTGTTTTTCACCTGCCCCTCCCCTCTGATTCAAGTCGAAACAAGTAATACGTTTTCCTGACATAGCCAGAAAGAGTGAGGGGAGAGTCTGGAAGAAGGAAAGAGGTGACGGAGTAGAGAAGCAAGGGAGTGATCAGCACAAAACAACCTCCTGCCGCAAATTGGATTTACGAACCAAAATCACTGCCTGCTGGCAGAGCCTCACTGGATCGGGAAACCCAGGTAAGACGGCGGTCCCTCTGCTTCTCAGCAGAGAGAAAGTGGGTTAGGAGGTTAAGGTGCTGCATCCTGCTTGCTTGCTTGAGACACACCTTATCTGGCAGGGTGTAGGGCAGCCAGGAGGAGGACAAGAGAAAGGAAATGAATGGGAAGGGAAACAGAACTTTAATACACACATTTAACTAAGCCCTGTAACTCTTCCAGGCCCATCTCTTGATATTGAACCGTGTTTTTTTGATGCATTTCTTCCTGCGGAGCATTGAAATGTCCCCCTGTGTTCAGCTGGGGCTGAGGTAAGGTGGAGAGAGTGAAGGGAAGAGGCAAAATGCAGCCTCCTTGTTTCCCAGAAACTTTTCATATGTAAGGAATGTTGTTCTGAACCATCCCTTGCATATGCACACATTTTGGGGAAGGTCAAAATGAACAGTTCTTGGAAGCGGCAGAGCAGTTGTAATGGGAAAGGAGATGGTTACACTTTTTTTCCTGATACAGAGCAGCATTGCACTCTTAGTGACTACCTGGGGCACATCTCCCTATTTATTTATGATAAGCAGCATTTGAGTAATGCTCAAATGTACTGAATTCTCTGGCCAGATCCATCATAAGCCACATCTGAATAGAACTGTATGGCACTAGTTGAGTATCATTAATGCATCACCATGGGAGATGATACCACCTGTTGTCCTTTCCTGGAAGACCTTCACTCCCCATAGCCAATTCTCCAGCTGTGTGTGAATAAAAAGGATCTAGAGCTGGATCTGAGCTGAATTCTGTGATGATTTTTATTTTTGGTTTTGTTTCTGCCAATCAAAATCCTTACAACAAGAGTTTGCCCTGATGCAGACCTGTCTCTGGGTTTGTCTGTGACAATTGAGGTTAGTTCTGAGTTCGGCGGCAGAGGTACCAGTGCTGAGAGGGGGGAGAGTGGGGCAGTGAACTTTGAGTAGAGAAATGGTGGGCCCCTCTGAACGATGTGTGTCCAGTAGATAGTGAACAATGAGGGTGGACCGATAACTACCAAGAGGGGAGTGCCGGCAGGGAAGCTACCAAAGTGATCATGGATTCAGATATTACAGGAGGTGGTAGGAATAGAATGAGGGATGCAGTGCCAGTCCTATCATGAGCAGCGCTCCTGATGCATTCTGGGAGGCCTCAGAGGTTTAGGAGCCATAGGCCCTGGTCTTGTCATTTCATGTGGACTAGGAAATAAAGCCTTGAACTAAGTGTTGGGAGGACTGGGCTCTTAATCCCAGCTCTACCACTGGCATGCTGGCTGACCTTGGGCAAATCTCTTTTTCACTTTGTACATCAGTTTCCCCGTCTGTGAAATGGGGATAATAATATGGACTTCCTCAGTAGCATGCTTGGAGATCTATGGATGGGAAATGTTAACGTAAGAGTGAAAGGCGTGTATTTACTGTAGAATAATACAAGGGATGTTATTAATGTTACTGATATCCGGGCTCGCTTTCATGAGGTCTTGTCTCTTATTTAACGGAAGGCACTTCAGAGTCCCACTGTGCGAGTGGAGGTGTCCCTTTGTTGTTCCACTTGGGTTTCCTCGCAAGCTGTGTCTATGACCCCATTGCTGGGGTGCTGAGGAGGTGCACATGCAGAGGGGTCATTAGGCATCCTGCCCTGATGGGAAAGTCGACTGTACTCTGTCTGTTCTCATGACCAGGATCCTTTTGGTGCCCTCACTGTCATTTGAATAGATGTCTGAAAAGCATCCTGTCTCATCCCCACTTGCCTCTGCTCTGCTCCCCCCTTCCTAACAGGATATGAATGTACAATCGGCTATATGTCGCTTGGGCTGCTGCAGCTGATGAGCCACACCTGGTGTAGCTCTTGTAATGTGGGTAATGAGGAAGGAGAGTTTTAGTATCCCATGAATCCCTCCTGATTAACCTTTTATTGATGGTAGTCCATGGTAGGGGGTAGGTTATGCATAGGCAGGAGTAGAGGTAGATCACTACCCATCTCCATGGGTACTGGAGCTTGGGGGCTGCAGCATTTGCAGGAGAACATTTGCCACCCATTCTCATGGGTAGCCCAGTATAAGAGGACCCATGATCCTGGGGCTTTATGGTCATTCGTGGTCAGGCTGTTAGACCCCAACTCCATGCGGCGCCCAACGGCTAGGGAGATGATGATCGACCAGAGGGCCACAGCAGTGCTATGTTTTGTAGCTGTACCAAGCCAGATTTTTCAAGGTGCTCAGCATTCAGTAAGCACTGACCTTATGAATTCTCCTGTTCACCCTTAGGCCCACATTCCTGGGCAAGTGCTGTCTGTCTACAAGGGGCTGCCACCTATCTTTGCATGTGTTTGTGCAGAGCAGAGAGCCTGGTACTGGGCTGGAACTGGCCTGAAGAAGACTGTAGGCACTGGCTGATGGTGGAGGTGTCTTTGAGTTGTCAAGTACCTTATGGAAACAAAGGCAGCAGTTGACTCGGACACCGGCTATTTGCTTCTTTTGATTTTTCATTGGGGGGGGAGCCTGGAACAGTGGCTTCTTGTCTGATGTTGGTACGTCTGATGAAGTGATATGATGGGTTGCAGTACACAGTTTATTCCAGCAAAATGTCAGGTTCCAAAGGGCTGAAGTAGCAACTTCCAATAAACTTTCTGGAGGGGAAAGGGAGAGCCCTGAAAGGGGATAGGGAGAGAAAGATGAAAACGTTATTATTAGTTCTACGATGACAGTAGCCAGAGGCCTCTACTGAGATCAGGGGCATCAGTATGCTGGGTGCTGTACAAAGATACGTCAGTGTGGTCTCGGTCCTGAAGAACGCCAAACCTATAGCCTGCCCTCCCTTAGTGCACTCCACCTGTGTGTCACCAAGCACTGTATAGACATTAATGAATTTTGCTTCCCAGCCTCCCTGGTGAAGTGTGGAAGTATCATTAGTTCTAGTCTTCAGATGAGGAAATAGAAGCACTGAGAGATCAAGAACTTGACTGAGATCATTTGATATCTGTGGCAGTGCTAAGAACCTAGATCATCTGAGTCTCAGACTCCTGTGATGGCCAGAAGCCTATAACAGAAGAAAATTAGAAACCAGCTAAATGATTTGAAGCTCCAAGTAAGTGGAATGGCCAAGTGAAACCCTTCAGGAACTCACAGTGCCATTGCTCCTCATTAGTGACTTGGGATGAATGTTTTGCAGCCTACATTTTCAATGACAAAGGGAGATTCTGAAACACAAACTTTTTTGCACATTCCTATTGATTTCACCAACTTTACTGATGAAAGGGGGAAAGCAAAAAGAAACATTTTGTATCAACCTTTTTTAATTGAAATGTTCCGTTTGAATTGGTGTTTTCCCTTCACTTAGAGAAAAAAAAAGTCCAAAACTTGAAATCAGGATTAACCCAAATTAATATTTTGTTTGGCTCATTGACTTTTTTTTTTTTTAAAGAATTCATTTTGGATCAGCCAGCCAGTTTTTTTCCTTCTGTTGTTCGGAATTGCAGGTGAAGTGAAACATCAGGTATCCCCACTGCTTTATGCAGCACCTAATCTTCTGTTCTCGCATCAGCTTTACTGAGCACCTCAATCAAAGCAGGATCTGGCCTATATAGCACACAGATGAGCAGCTGATAGACAGCTGATGAAATGAACTCTGCTTTCATTCATGAATTAATTGTGGCTGAAGCATTGTGAAACTTCCTTATGAAATTTTGCCTGGGTTTCTTGGGTACAAAAGCAAGGCATGAGGATTTTGTTGGGCTGGGGGAGGGTGGCAGAAATAAAAGGAAAGGTTTCTTCCAACAAAAGGAGATGTCTCCCCCAACCAAGTTGTTTTCCCTGCAGCTCCAGTCTCAGCCTCATATTAGGTTGGTTCATACCGTCCTCCTTTCCCAGTTCAGTATATAGGAGGCTGCAGATACTTTAGATAGAAGCTAAATAAAAACTGGGCCCAGTGCCCAGTGAAACTGGCCATTTCTTCAGCTGAACCTGGGCAGAAACAAACAGTTCAGCTGGAAAGGGTTGTTTCTGTTCCTCCTGGGAGATTGCAGTAGTCCTCTCAGTGCTATTGGGGCATGTGCATAGAGGAACATGGCTATGATATCTTGGCTATGCCATGCATGTAGCAAGATGAATGAGGGATAAACCAGACAGAAGGGAGCTAGCTGGAGGATGGGGGTGTGCTAGAAAGAGGTGGACAGGATTCAAGGATGGGGATAAGGCTGGGAGAGATGGCCAGGAGTAGAGGATGGAGGTGGATGGGGGAGTGGGCTAAAGGGGATGAGCATGGATGTGACCTGTTGGCAGGAGAATGGAGAGCTCCCCATCACAAGCAGTGATTTAGAGCTGGGGGAGCTGGCCAAGGATTGAAGGAGCCACGCAGGGAAGGCACATGGGGTAAGCTGTGACAAAGTGGCTGTCTGGGGGATGGAGTGGGCTAGCTGTCCAGCAGTGGGTGAGGCAAGATCAGAGAGAGGTAAGGACTTGAACCACCTGATTCCCTTGAACAGCGTTCACTTGAAGTCAGTTTAAAGCTGCAGTGGCTCATGGAGCACTGACTCCAAATCTTTGAACTGATGGGTGCTGGTGCAGACCTGGACCGTCCTGCTCCACTGGAACCATAGCCATGATCCCAAGCACACCCCTCACCCTAAATTCAGAGTGTCTGCAGGGGAGTGGAGGGGGCTTGGTTAGTGGATTGCCTCCCCATGTGGTTGTCGCTGTGGCCTTCTGGGAAGGGCTGTTCATTATGGGACCAACCTTGATATGCAGCTGTCTCTGATGAATGTCTGCCCCAGCTAATCATGAAGAGGAGCCAGAATCCTTCCTGCCCCGTCCCTGGGAGTCTTTGCCATGGCAGGGCATGCTCAGTCATAGTGGCTAGGCAGTGCAGCCCCACACCCAGCATCTGGGGGACAAGAGCGGAGCAAACTGGTGCTCCCAGCCCCCCTAGGGAGTCTCTGCCATGGCAGGTGCAGCTCTGCACCTAATAACATCTGAAGTGGGTGGAGAGTGCAGCAGCTCTGCAGAA